GCGGTTATTATGTGCCATGCTCTACACTAGGCATTACAGACAGAGAGGTGAATGAAAAACTACGTCCCAGCTTTCACAGAGCTTTCAGCCTTCGGGTGCCTAAGAAATATCTATAACAATTATATGCCCAAAGTCCTCCTCAATGCCACAGTTCTGATTAAAGTGTCCCTTAATATCTGAACATACTACAGCTGGAGGGAAAAAAAAGCTAATTACAGTACACTATGTTACTATGTTATATGAAATGTGCTTTATATGGCTGATTACTACATTTAATTGACATAAGTTTTAGAAAGCTTTACAGAGTAAACATGTAATTATAAATACGTAGTCTGTGGTATTTTCCACAAAAAATCAGACATTAGATGTTTGGCCAAACCTATAACCTCAAAATATACTTGTTTCTATAGGAGAAAAATCAGCTTTTACACAGCATTTTTAGTCTTTTTGAAGTCGCCAGGTATTGCAATTAAGTTTTCACGTCGGTAAGTACTGCAGTACACACGTTCTAAATCCTGTACTGATTAACCACATCACTTTTGCTGAAGTTAATTGGTGACTTTAAAGGTTGAAAATCTAAAAGAAAAGGATATACCAGTGTCAGGTAAACCAAAAGTCTTTAAATCTATAATCTCTAAAACAACCTAATGAGAAGTTAGCTCTACCTGTTTAGCTACTTTTTAAACACACACCCAATTAATGTAACCGTAAACTTCAATGGGTGAAGCTTTCTTCTAAGTTACCTATTTAAAAGTTCATAACAGAGTGTGAAAAGACTCAATAAAGCTATTCTAAGATACAAACGTCCACTCTATTAACTACATCTAAAGGAATTTTATAAATATGTTGTTATAAATGTCAGAGCCCACTATAACATTATCAACATTGTTTGTGCTTGTAATAGCTGCATTTAAAAAGTATTCTAGGAGAAACTTAAAAATGTAGGTTCCTTTCCCTCTAACCTCTCTAAATACAATCATTTTAACATACCTTTTTAAAAGTTACCCTATAGTTATTTCATAGGAGATAAGGTTAATGTTTCACCAAAGTATTTTTTCCATACCCAGGAAGCTTCTCTCTTCTCATTTAACTTTTAATCACTACCTTAATATTGTCATAAGAATGATTTCTTTTCCTCACAAGCTATTATACATTATGTCTTGCTGATGTCTACATAATTACCTCTAAGTAATCCCCTTCTTGGCACTTTTCGTTTTCTAATAATTTGTGCTGAAGAAAAACTATACTGATTTCCTATGAGCTTACTTGTTGCTTCCTTAAACATCATTTTAGTTAAACAGAAAGAATTTTCTTCTCATTTTTGGCTATATAATTATTAAATTTCAGAACTAAAAGAGCCTTATAGGTGAACCAGTAAAATTTCCAGTTTTACAAAAGATAAAACAGGCTAATTGAAGGAAAAGTGGCATAACCAAGATGCAATTATTTCAAGGTAGATACCAGTAAGTAAAGCAAGATCTGGCAAAAGAATTGGATGTAGTAATTCAGCAACTTGACTGAAAAACTGACATCAGCCAAGCACGGTGGCTCACTTTGGGAGGCCGAGGTGGGAGGATTACCTGAGGTCGGGAGTTTGAGACCAGCCTGACCAACATGGAGAAACCCCTCTCTACTAAAAATACAAAATTAGCTGGGCGTGATGGCGCATGCCTGTAATCCCAGCTACTCGGGAGGCTGAGGCAGGAGAATCGCTTGAACCCAGGAGGCTGAGGTTGCAGTGAGCCGAGATTGCGTCATTGCACTCCAGTCTGGGTGACAAGAGCGAAACTCCATTTCAAAAAAAAAAAAAAAAGGAAAACTGACATCACATTAAAACAATATTTAATATATCCTTGGTTTTAAAATCTGTTCATTATTGATATTTTAATAAGTTTCCCTATATAAATTTGGTTTCTAAAAGTTATTACTTAAACATCTTAATTCTTTTTAAAAATAGAGATAGGATCTCACTATGTTGCTCAGGCTGGTCTTCAACTCCTGGCCTCAAGCGATCCTCCCGCCTTGGCCTTTTGGGATTATAGGCATGAGCCACTGCGCCTGGCCTAAAATAATCTTATCACTGTGTAAACTGGCAGAGAAAACATCTCAAAGGCTAGAACTGAGTTGGTATGACGCATTTAAGCAAAACTGGCTCTAAAGATGATCAGTAGCGCTTGGAATTTGACACGAGCATTCTTTAACAAGTAAACTGGGTTCAAAATCTCTCATACTAAAAATAATAAAAATAAAATAATTGAATCAATAAGCATCTTTATTGTAAATTAATTCAAACTACATTTGGAGGTGGAGATTTACATTATATTCTTTGTAATTCACAGGATTTTCATAACAATGATGGCCGGAATTCAAGGAGACAAGAGCTTTTTGTCATGCATCTCTTACAAGGAGGCCTGCTGCAGACAAATGATTAAACGTTACAACTTTTTTTTTTTTTTTTTTTTGAGATGCACTCCTGCTCTATCGCTCATGCTGGAGTGCAGCGGTGTGACCTCGGCTCAATGTAATCTCCGCCTCCTGGGTTCAAGCGATTCTCCTGTCTCAGCCTCCCGAGCAGCTGGGACTACAGGCGCGTGCCACCACGCCCAGATATATACATATATATATATATTTTGTATTTTTAGTAGAGACGGGGTTTCACCATGCTGGCCAGGCTGCTCTTGAACTCCCGACCGCAGGTGCTCCACCTGCCTTGGCCTTCAAAGTGCTGGGATTACAGGTGTGAGCCACTGCGCCCGGCCCCCAAATGTTACAACTTCTAACTGAATACCTTAGGACCTCTTAACATCAGAGTTATGGAATAAAGTTCAAATATAACCCATACAAAGAAAAAAATTAACAAACATACTGATAAAAATAAATAATGTTTACTTATTTAAAATGTTGTGGTGGCACGTGCCTGTAGTCCCAGCTACCAGGGAGGCTAAGGTGGGAGGGATCACTTAAGCCCAAGAGTTTGAGGCTACAAAGAGCTATGATGGCACCACTGCACTCTAGCCTGGGCAACAGAGCAATACCCTATTAAAAATATATATACACACACACACACCCCTATATATACATACCTATATATTTACCTATATATCATATATATGATATATACCTATATGTCATAAAATGTATTGAAAAAATCCTTAAAATTTTATATTGCTGAAATTATTTCTAATGGTGAGATAAATGATGTTCCCAGTCAAAACTGAAAAAGGGGCCGGGCACGGTGGCTCATGCCTGTAATCCCAGCACTTTGGGAGGCCAAGGCAGGCAGATCACCTGAGGTCGGGAGTTCGAGACCAGCCTAACCAACATGGAGAAACCCTGTCTCTACTAAAAATACAAAATTAGCCGGGTGTGGTGGCACTTGCCTGTAATCCCAGCTACTATGGAGGCCGAGGCAGGAGAATCGCTTGAACCTGGTAGGCGGAGGTTGCGGTGAGCCAAGATCACGCCATTGCACTCCAGCCTGGGCAACAAGAGCGAAACTCCATCCCCCGCCAAAAAAAAACAAAACTGAGGGAAAAAAAAAACTGAAAAAGGGATATACACAGAAATTAAAAGTAGATGAGAACAGAATAAATCATGTTTATTTTCAATGCTAAAATAATAGTCAACTCAAACAACCTGGGACTATGACAAAGCACAGCATGCTAGGTAAAAGATATGAATCAAAACCACTACAAGACACATGGTTAATTCCTGATATACTTATTTCTGAATTTTTATCATTTTCCATTTTGAAATAGCCTCTGGTTTGTTAGCAGTCTTCTCAGGACAAGCTTCTCTAAACACAGGAAAATGTATCTCTCAAAGTGATACACTGAGTCAGAGTTATCTTAAAAGCTACCTTTAAGATAACTTTTTTACTTCTCTAAACTACATCTTCATCTCTCCCAGGGAATGCTTCTCAGCCCTTTTCAATTTCCTTTGGCACAAACAGGGGACTTTCCTAACCTAGGAAGACTCAAAATAGTGAGTCGTCCTCATCTCTGATACCCAGGTGTGCTTAAGATCAAAATTTAATATTCCCTTCTTTTCAAGATTAAACCATTTTATTTTAGTTGCAATCATTCAGTCGTTGGGAGTAACATTTGGATCTCTTAAAGCAGTAAAGAAAATTAGATTACAAAAAATGCAGCAGCTGTCCATGACAAACTCTGCATGAAAACTGTAGGTAAGGACCAGAATACAGATATATCATGTCCACCCTCTGCCACTGTCCTTATAGGAGGGAGAAATTTGCAGTTATTCAAGTAAAGGTTTCACTCACCAAGAAGCCTTAAAAAATACCTAAGTTCCATTCATACTGCAAAATGTTCATTTAAAACCACTTTTAGCTAGTCACTAAATCATTATATCCTGGAAATAAATATATTCTGCTCTAGCTTAAAAGTTACAAAAGAAGAATCTTTAACATCCCTATAATTTAAACCTTTTTAAAGCTAATTAATCATGGATTTTTCCCTCTACCTTGTTAGTATGATTGGTGAGGTCTTTTTGAATTTCACTAAAAATTAGGAGGTATAATGGCATAAATGCAAATTAAGTTCACCAAGTCAAACAAAGTACTAAACATAACGGTTATAGAATTTTAATATACTAAAGAAAACAGCAAGGAGGCAAGGTGAAAGATTTGGTAGGAATTCCATCAATACTCTGCCAATTGTGGGGCAAGGTAGACATGTGTTAAACTGTATTTTATTCAGGTCTTCACACTATGAAGCATCATCACACAACTTGACTTTGTAATTTTTTTCGGAAGCAATAAAGAACTGTTCTCACTTTCTAATCAGCTTCAGCCGAATCTTAAGGGCTACAAGTCACCCAAAGCCTGGCAACAGTAACTTTTCTTCCTTGACCCAAGAAGGCAGAGTGCCAGAGGGAAATAGCAAAGAGTAGCACTATATAAACAGGGCAAGTGGCACAAGAGCAGAGGCAAGTTATATAACCAAAATATATTTTAAAATATGTTCATAACTCGTAACAACCTTTGCCTTTAGTTGGTTTCTTGTTTGGAGTATCAGTTGAAACAGTTAATTCAATATTATCTGGATCGCCTCCTTCCTCTTCAATAGCCTACATTAGAAAGAGAAGTTAATATGCTACACAATCTATCTAAACTTATTTTATAAAAACGAAATGAAAAAAAAATTTAGCAAACCTCAAGCCATTAGAATTGCCAGTTATTTCATAAACCGACTTCAAAAATGAGCAATTAAACTACACGAAAGAGTGAGAGAAACTTTCAGGGGGAAAAAAATCATTAGGTATCAAAATCGCAAGGAGTTTTAAATTCTACCATGTCAAGATAATTAAATATCACATCATACTGGCCAAAAATCTAAATATGTTATATTGCAGAAAAGTTGCTAGCTACTAAAGTAAATAACTAAAAAGAGTTTTCCTAGTTTCTGTAATGCAAACTTACTGCTACTCTACTACAATTCCAACGCTCACTCAAACCAGAAAGCTAATCAGGAATGAAAAAGTAATTATTGCGCTGATGCAAAAACTAAAAGCCTAGTGGAAAACAAAAACTCTCTCTGTCACCCACCCATCAACTCCCACTACCAATTCCCCCTCAAGATGGGGAAGAAACGGTTGGGCACAATTAAACGGTAACTTCGCAGAAGTCACCAAACTAACCATTCCCTCTGAGGCCAAGAAATGCACACGCTCACCATGGCTAAAGGCTGGAGACCGAGCGCCTCCCCGGTCTCCACGATCGCCCTTGGGAGGCCGCGCCGGCCGGCCGCAACCC